AGGTATATCAGATATAATTTTCAGGTAAAATTTTCTGTCTCAGCTCACAGAGACTGTTTTTTAAATTCTAAAAGTGAGCTTCTGAGAATAATATTGTTCTACTGTCAATCTTGCCACTGTTACTTTGTACACCTTGTACAGTTGCACAAATGATCATGTTTGTTTGAGGGGTGTTATCATTTTTAGAACTACAAAACACAGTTCATCATGGTGGCATTATCAGATTTGAAATAAGAGCAGAAACATTCTGCAAGATGCTCTAGAGCTAAACAGTACTACAAAATGGAGGATTTCAATCAGAAGTTGTCACTAGCAGGAAAATATACTTACACAGCACAAGCAACACATATCCTGGCTATAAAACAATGTCTTTCTAGTATCTGTTTCCTGGCAGATAAAGTATTTAATTTAATTAATGCAAACCATATTCTGGTAGATGAACATCAGACATTTATTTTGCCTTTTTCTTGCAGATCTTTTCAAAACCCAGTAGCAGTTACTGTATTTATATGAGATTTTTTAAAATGAGTTTTCACAGTGTTTCTTTGTAATTTTTTTCCCCGTTGATTAAGACAGCCTGGAAGATTTGGAGACCTACTTCTTGCCTAGAGAATGGACAAGCCTTAAGACTGCTCCTCTTATTCTCTTCTTGCCTAATGTGAAGGAAAGCCATAAGTCATTCTGGTTTCTATAAATCGTTAATTTTATAATGAGGTATTATTGTACCTCCTTTATCAACTACAGGATGCATGTATCTCGTTGTTAGTTCAGTTATGGCAGAATCATGCCTTGTAGTCCTATATCTTACCAGGTATGACCTCAAAACAAACAGTACTCTGTGAAACTACTCCATATAAATCTTTTCTGTAATCCTATGAGTTATTCTGATATGCTTTTGAACCTGATCTTTATACTTCCTTTGCAACCTCTCTCTTTCTGTTACTTCATACAGATCATTTGCTATTAAAAGCACTTTCCAGTTATAATGTTCCTCAACTTATAACATTTTGGATCCAAACAGCTCCCAGAGCATATTAACAACTGGGTTTATTGTACAAATGAACTACTCACAGCTACTTTCACTTGGAGCATAGCCATATGCAAAGGAAAATGCTTCCGCTGCTTAACACTGCACTGCTATCTTAAGCAAACCTTCAAAACTGGTTGCTTACAGTAGGCACAGCTCTGAGGAAGAGGTGAGGGTAAACATCCCAGAAATAGCCCCACTAGGCAATGAGCTCATCAGTGCATTTTCATGTCACTATTTCTGCATAGGGAAGTATTTTATAATGGTGTCTTCTGAGGACACATTAATTCTCCTTTTATCCACCCATGCTCTGCCTTGGTAGCAACCAAATCTCCCCAGAGACAATGAGGAGCATGGCATGGCTGCACAGCTTCTTTGCAATGCAGAACCCTGATTCCTATGAGGTTATCATATTAAGGAAGGCTGGATGCATGGATGGAAGTGAGCATGTCCCAATGAATACCATCACCCTATATAAAGTCTGTATAAGCTGTTTCAGCAAGATGATGGAGGCGATCACTGGGGAGAGAATTTTTAATTTTCTTTCATCCCAAGTTCATTCCCTTAGCACCAAGTTTGAGGCTTCTGGTTTTGACCCTGAAGTATCTATAGCAATCAGTCTACGTTTGGGATTAAAGGTCTAGGCAGAAACTCCCAGTGCAGAACTGCAGTCAGGTAGGTGTGGCTTTTTGGGAGTACCAAAATGATGTGAGTTGCTCTCATGGCATTTCTTCCAATTCAGAGCATATATGAACCAGATACAGAGACTAAAGTCCTGTTATTCACTGAACTAACCACAAGAACCCAAACTCCACCCACAGGGAGATGCAGGTTCAGAAGCAAAATTGCAATCTGCATCTCTAAGGATCATAGATTAGATTTTCTCTGGAAGAAAGATTCAATTAGGCTTCTACTTGAGAAAAATACTGTAATGTAAGCTTTATTTTGTGCAGGACTTCTTATTAAACAGGAAGAAAATCACCTCATATTACTTCTAAGGAGACTTCCTGCAAAATCAGATAGCTTTTAGTGTGCTGAAGTTCAGGAGGTTTTAATTATATATTCCCATTCTACTGGAAAAGTGTGTTCTTTTTGCAGTAAATAGGAACAAGTTAGAGAAGACTTAAGGTTTTCTCAAATACACAATCTTTTACCATTATTATTATAAATTATTATTTTGTGAAGTAAAAATGAAGAAACTGCTACAGCCATAGGTCCACATTTAACTGACATGGTCCCTCGAGACTGCAGTACAGATTCAATGCAAAAATCTCAAAGCACTGCCTCAGCAAAACTGTTTTCCTTGCAAAAATCACAAATAAGATCCTTCAAGGAGTGACTGGTCACACTTCTGTACCAGAGGAAAGATGACAACTTGCATGCAGATAGAGAAGCTGGAAGCAAGTCTGTTCTTTAAGCAATTTCAGTAAGGAAAATCTCATTTTCCTATGAAGATCATTACTGCAGTGGCTGAAAGTGAGCTGCAGTCTGACACGAAGTGTTGATGAACAAAGGACTAAGTTTAAAAGTAGAACATGTTACGCATAATTAAATATGGATCCTTTCTAATCAATAGTGAGTGTATAATTACATTTCTCAAGGTTGTTTTGGCAGGGAGCTGTGAGGAGACAGAGTGAATGGAATCAAGTAGGTAAACTAGAGAATCAAAAATGTGTTCTGCAGCTCTGCTGAGGTTGTTTGCAGTCAGTCTTGTCATACTTGAGCGGCTCACACTGAAATTTTTGCCAGTAGTCTCATTAAGGAGACATGAAGCAAGGTTAAGGAGGCCTCCAAGAATAGACAAATCCACTTGAGCAGTAAACCACTCCAGCAGTATTGTCTTTGTCTATCGTATTCCAGGGTATCTCTTCATTTCTGCACTTTGAACAGTAGTAAACAGAAGCAGATCAAATTCTTTCAAACAGGGAACGTTGCTTTGAACAGGTTTGATAAACCTGTCTCTGAATGTAACAGGAGAAACCTTTGACATTTAATACCAAAATTCTAATTTCCCTGATGGAGGGTTCTGTTGCAAGCCTACATCTGAGCCACTAGACATGATTACAACAAATAATAATATTTAGAAATATTTTAAAGAAAATGACTTAGCACTGTGATAATTTGACGATGTCAGGTATGTTTACCACTACCATTCTGCCCGTTAGACAGAAATACCAGGCAATGTAATTGGGCATTTTTGCTAACTTCAAAGCTAAAAAATCAACACCTGGAAAACTCTCCTCCCACAAATTGCATCTATTTAAAAGAGAATTCATGTGAAGCAGCTTTGAAACTTTTTTCATCGTATCTTGCCCAGCCATTTGGATCCTATTAATTCGAAAAGAGTCCTACATCCGTGTGCTGCCTCTGAAGGGCAAGAGCTCAAAGGCTCTGTGCAGCACCCTGAGCACACACAGACTTCCCATCCAGACCTGGATTGATTTTATGTGGGGTTTTTGTTCACAAAACCTAGATCATCTTTGTGTTCATACAGTTACTCATACCGATTGAACTCAACAGGAACCCCAAATGCACACAATGTATGTCACATATATGTACAGTACCTATACTGAACTTCTATAAGAGAATAAGAGAAAAATACCATCAAATGCAAAGAACTTCAGCTGAAGATTTCACTTCTACACCTCTGCAGCAGTATGGCCTGAGCAAACTCTCTCACTTTTTCCCTTATAAACAAAACCATTACTTTGGTGCGCTTTGTGTAGCATTTTGGGATTTCCTGATGAGAAAGCTTCAATATCTGTAGACACTGAAGGTTACTGCAGAATTCCATTAGATTTTTATCAAAAAGGATTTAAACTACCAGGATGCTAAATAGTAAATATTTTCTCCCACAAAAAGTTTTTAATTACCTAACTCAAAACAGTGTTTTCAGCACAATTGCTGAATGAAAGCACCTTAGAAACCAGATTGCTTCCGTTATAATCCTTTTGACTTTTCTATTTTGAAAATTCCCCATAAATTTTTGCAATTGTTTTGTTTTAGTATCACATCTTCATATTAGCACTATAATTGTATTTTTCCATCATAATTTTTTCCAAACTCTACTGTTCATAAATTCTGATAAGACCAGATGGGAATAACTGGCCTATAAGCAGAAAACGTACAGGCATAACTGTACCCATAAATGCATTAAATTTGACAAAGCACAGACTTTGCTATAAACTGTTAAGGCTTTCCTTTACTTGCTTATTCCCTCCCCATCAGACATGACTTTACTGGGTGAAGTACAAACACTCCAGTCCAAGAACCTGATGCTGGGTATTCCTCAGCTGGCAGCTGCATATGTACACATGGAAAAAATAATACCCTGCAAAGAAAGCTGTGTGTATCTCAGTGTAAACAGCTTCTTGGCCCACATTCTTTTGAGAAGCTGTTTAGGAGCAATAAACCAGAAGCTGTGCTTCTGAGGTAGAGGAAAATACCTCATAAGTATGAACAGGACATCTCTTTATTTAATTTCCCTTACAAAACAGATACAGAATTTGATCCAAAAGTGATTAACAAAATTTCCTAAATTAGATTCTGTCACTCTTAATCTAAGCATATATAAGGGAGTCCAAATTTGATATTACAGAGATGAAAATTATTTTTTGTTTAAACAGACTGCCAGAACTCTGACCACTGGGTTAGATCTGAGTGCCCCAGTCAAATCTCAGCTCATGAACTGTGAGCAAGAATTCTTCCAAGTCCCTGAAGGACCAGAAGGACAAGAGCCAATGGGTTTCACTCATTAGTTTACCAAGAGACCTCAATGAGAATTTTGTTATTCAATTTTTCATCCGAACTGGGATCACTGTCCAAAACTTACAGCTTGTTTTGCAGTGCAGTTTAATTTCTATATAGCTGTACATTCCCCTTCACCCACCTATCGAGGCCAGGTCTGCTTTTTATTGTAAAACCTGTGCATGTTAATAATAATAAAGGCAAACCCTTTTCTCACAGTTCTTACCTTATCTCTAAGGTATGTCTTGTCATGAATTCTCACAGGAGAAACACACCAGACCCTAGAAGCTGGAAAAGGGAAGAGAGGGAAAAATTCTTACCAAGATTGTTCTAAAAAGCACTTGAAAGTTTTAAATGCTGCTTCACAGGCTATTCTCCTCCTGAACTGAGCCTTAAAAAACCTTTCCTTTATTTTTCAGAGTTTCAAATTAGACAACCAAGTGCGTTGCAATTGCTTCTGAGCTGCTTGTAAGTGCATAGTAATAGCAAGGCCAGTCTTCCAATACTGCTTGGCTGATGAAAGTGAGCATCACTCTCATTTGCCCTCATTCAGGGGAAGTTTTAATGGGAAGCAGAGCTCGAAAGAACTTGGCACTTTGAGAAAAATGGCTTTGTGGGGAAGAGCACTTTTGTTAATAGTAATTGGAGGACATACTGCAACATCTTTTCCAATTTTCTGAAAGTCTGTGGACAATCCAGAGCCCGATTTACCCCCATCTTCTACCAGAATAATTCCACTGACTGTAATGTAATGATTCTTACTATATACCAGTGTTAGCAAGAACAGGGTTACACTCCTGAGCTGAAGTCTCTAGTTAAGGTGCAAATATCTAAAATCCAGAGACGGAAAATGTCTAATTCAAAGCCCACATTATGCCTAGAGGTCAAACTTCTGACAATGAGGACAAAAACTAAAAAGACAAAAGTAATGTTAGTTTGACTCTGTGTCTCACTGTAAAATACCAGAAGCATAATGATATAATGTTAACTTCAGCAAAGAATACCGAAAGTGACAAGGTTATTTCTTTTTATCAGCTGAGATATCTTCTGTGACAAAACCACAGTTCTGCAGTGCAGCCTACTTCATCCCCATACAAATGCAGAACAAAGAGAGCAAAACCAGAGCTCTTCTCTCCCATCTTCTTCCACAGCATTACACAGAGGTAGATTTCAGCTAAACTATGGGTTTTCAGGACACATTTTACACAGCAATTTCTTAAGTACATTATTAGACAAAATTATTTGCAGGCACATAGTAGAACAGTAAAATCTCTTCATTCCTAAACTGTATCATTCCTCAAGTAGGGAAAGGTGAAATTTTTGGTAGTTCAGCTGTGCCTACACGTTCCTTGCCATTTGCCCATATTGACTCTGCAGTTCTGATGTGTTTTAAACTTATGAGCTAATAACTAAATATTGAAGAGCATTCTTTAACTTAGATACAAGTCTAAGGTCGAGTGATGGTTACTTAATACCAGTCTTTAATTAGTTTTCAGAGATTTGTAGCCTCAGGAACCTGAATCCTCAAGCCATTATTCAGTTGTTCATTCCTTCCTGTAACTGAGTTTGGGTGAGGAGCAGTCATATTATTGCCATAAATTACACTTGCTTCTCCAAAGAGAAAAGGAGAACTGAGGACCAGAGGTGGCCAGCTGGGAACCAGTTAAAGGGAACTCTGCCCCTGCAATGCTCTGTGCTCTTTATTCTTGGCCTTTTGCCATTCCCTCAGTCCTATTTATTCAGCTGTTCTTGTGTCCACACCATTAACGAGACACATGAAAGGAACCATTAAAAAATAATAAAAAAGGAAAAGCTATTGGATGGAGCAGCTGTTATGCTGGTGTAAGTGAAAGAACTGAAGCCCTTCATGGAAGGGAAAAGGAAGAACAAGCGCAAGAAACCAAGCCAGGCTGGGAGCACTAATGGAATAGCCAAGATGTACGGCTAAACAGGCCTGTGATAGCAACAATTTGGCTCTTCTTTTTTCACGAATATGTTTCTAAGTACTGATACTTCTTATATAATAAGAGACCTATCCATAGGTAGTCTAGTCTACATAAAAAAAGGAAAACATTCTAATGATCAATCTCTGCAAAAAATAGTTGTGAACCATGAAGACCTAGACTTGAGTAATTATATCTGTAGCCAGGGTTTCTGACTAAACATGATTTACACCTCTCCTTTGTATTAGTACAAAGAGTACTGATGGGGAGAGACAAAAAGGATGAATTCACGTATTATTTCTGCTCCAAACACTGCATTTTAAAAATCCATTGTAGCACATCTATAAAGAAGTAAAGAATGTGAGTTTGTACGAGTACAGAACCTGCTTCAGCAGCTGTGAAGGTGTTATCCTCGCCAGAGAAATAAACATTTGACTTTCTAGGGCTTCTTTTACCTCATGGCTTCATGATAAAGCTAGGCTTGGAGACATTTTCCTTACATAATGGTTAGGAAAAGTAGTTTCTGGTAAAGCAGCTTTTCACAAGGTATTTATTTTAACACTTCAAACCTCTTCATCAAATGTGATTTCCTTCATTCATTTGTTTAACTAACTGAACTTATGAAGTCCATCAATAAAAACAACAAAGCTTTTAACTAATTTCATTTTGGACATGTGTCCTCAGGATAGGATATTTTTCCTGTAAAGCTGATCAGCTAGAAGATATGTTTCTTTTACTGCCCAAAGCCAAACCCACTATAGAATTAAATATGCAGGCAAAACATTTCTTCTGTTTTAAGACTTGGCATTAATTTAGTTTATTTGGTTGGATATCTTCTCCATAATTAGTCTGCTGAATAATATTAAGTCAATTTATATGCAGTATTTTGTTTCCAGAAATGTTAATTCAGCCACTGAAAGAATAATGTGGTTTTAGCAGAAAAATTTGCTTCTCTGATCACTCAGAAAAAAAACATTGGAAATTACAAATTTCAATATCTCCTCATAAACTTGTTGGGCAACGTGTCAGAGATTGTGACATGGAGGAGATGAGAAATACACTTTATGTTCGTGTCTGTGTTTTTTGTCTATATATCTCTTTCTGATTTGTAACATTCTACCTACTTCTTGTTTCACATGGGACTAGACAATCCAATCTTGATAGCATGGCAAAGGAATCAGCCTATTTTTTATGTGAACTTCTGGGAATATTAGAAATGGAATGTACTTAGTAATTTTTGCTTATTCTTGTTTTATGTTTTAGGAATTTTAGTTTTCTCATGATTCATGTTCGTAAAGTGACTGAGGGAAGATAACAGAACTTTTTAACATTAAGATTCTTGTCCTTGGGAGTGTGACACAGTGATAACAAAAGAAAATTATTATTAGGAAAACAAACACAGACAAATACAACACATACCACAAATTTCTTGCAAGTTGTTAGTTTCTCTTACTTCATGTTTTGTACTTGAAGGCAAATTCCAATTAAGTAATCACTACCAATGTCCATAGGCTCTTAAAGATAAAAACGATAACAGGAGTGGGCCGAATATTTGACCTTATGCCAATAACACCAGCTAATAAACAAATCCAATTGAAATGCATGGGAACTATGGATTTTATTAAGTTTTCTAAAGATTTCTTCACATTCAACCAATTTCAGCTGGGAAGAGCTCAATAATCTCATGACATCAGCAGTACAATGTGCTCTTAATAACAAATGCTATGGCTGAAAATTTTCAATATGGATGTAAGCAGGCCTGTAGGCTGTAGGTGGCCCTATTCATTCTGTTTCATTCCTTGCTTTTGGACCTGATCCATTGCATAGATTTTAAAAATAATGGATATAATTTCCTAGAGAAACTGAATCACTGCTATGCCTTTTTTTTTTGTTCCTTACATTCTGGTTTTCAGTAACATGCTCATAGATTTTCATAGGCATGATATGATTGCTTTGCCAATCTCACTTTGAATTCCTATAGCTGGTCACACGCAGCCTCCTCCACAGCTTTGTCTTCATGTCATTGCACTGCAATCTTGGCTAATGCAAAAAAACATCCTACTCATATTTTCCAGCAAAAATTATTTTGTGAGAGTCAAACTAATTTGCCAGAAGCCTTACCATTGTTGCAACACTTAGTATTGAATGTGTCCAGATTTATATCAATCATTTGTGTGCTCTTGTGGTCTCCTTGGTTTGAGGCACTGTAATGTTTTTATAGTATTCTGATACCTAGAACTATGTTAAAATAACAGAGAGCTCAAAGGACATGGGGAATAAAACCAAATGCACGAGGGAGGATGAAAATATGAGAGATCAAATTCTACCAATTTACTACACATCAGTATTCTGTACAGAACCTGAGTTAATCTTTGCGTGTGTGTGTGTTCATTTTTCTTTAAACTCAAATTACATTTATGCTGTATGTGAGCAATTTCTCAAGAGTGAACAGTGAGTAACGTCCTACAGTTCTACCCTAAAATATCAAAGTTCTCTGTACAGCAACCACAGAAAGGATCCACTTCTATTATAACAGGAATAAAGGTAGTTTTCCCTTTCTCTCAGACTCTGAAATCAAAATCACAATCATGACAGCTGTCTGCAGGGCCCAGCTTAAACCTAAAGTGGGATTATTTAAAAGATATTTTACTGCTTTCCTGCTGTACAAAAATAACAGCTTGTGGTTATTTCACAAGACATATCACTTTGGGGAGGCATTTGCAACACACTTTCAGCAAGTGACCAGTCCCTCCAGAGGTGACACCCAAAATACCAGAATGGTATTTGTAACAGCAGAAGCTGGTATTTTGACAAATCTATGTATTTTCAATGAGAAGTTTTCTCATTGAAAATACATAGCCTGTGGTCAATGTAGAGTAAAAGTTATGGTGAGTGACTGTGGTGTTAATAGACTGGATGTCAGGTTGGCTGCTATTCCCAGTGAGTGATCTATGTCTATCAGCTCACCCTTCTCCCCCAGTAACAGACAGTTGGCTCTTTATCACTTCTCTAGTGGTCGACCCAGAGGAGTTTAGATTTAGCGATTTCTCCCTTCATAAAGGCAAACGTGACCACAAGGTTAGGAAAAGCTCTTGACATTTGCTTGATCAGACCACAAATCCCTTTTGCCAGAAAGTCTGATGCAGCAAATCTTTGAGGATCATTTTGGAAGCTCTGTCTTTGAAGAGAGTTTGCTGTATCACAGAAGCCCCTCGTCACTGTGTATGAAACACAAGGTGAAAGTATTAGGCATCAGTATTATCTTCAGCCAGAGATACAATAGATAACTTTGGAAATTTTACAGGAGCAATTAGATCAGAATGTTTCTGTGCCTTCTACTTCTTC